TTTACTTCGGTTTGAGTTTAGTTACTATTTTACTAAAACCGAACAAACCAAACCCGAAAATAAACTGAAATACCCACCCCTAAATTGTGTTCTCGGCTTGTCAAGTACAGTATCATCAACTGTTGGTTTTGGATTGAGAGATACAATAGATTTTTGGCCCATCATTTCCCTTTAAAAACAAAAGTATAGTCACAATTAAACCAAAATAAAATAGGTAAATGCATATATTTATATATATATATATATTTGTATAAATTTATATTGTATTATTTGAATATTATTATATAAAATCTTTCTATTAACAAAATGATATTTTCTTATAAATAAAAATCGGTTTCTTGTTTGCCAAAAGAAAAAGAAAACTGGTTTCCGGTTTGGTTTGATTTGGTTGAAACTGATTCTAGTTTTGATTCGGTTTCTCCTGTGTATAATACATAGAACTAATCAGCTTTTGAGAAAATTGGTTTCATTTCAAACTGTTCACCTAAAAGGTATATACTCTCTATAGCCACATGTGAGATGTGTAATGTGCCTTCAAGGCCCATTTATTAAAATTCTGTATCATTTTTCTTTTCTTCTCTGCCAAAAATTTAAGCATTGGAGATATCTTCGTCATACCTTTCTCTTTCTCTGTCGGTTGAGATCTTTTTGACATACAAGAAAGAAAGAAAAACTATCGTATCTTCAGTGTTTCTGCAAGAGATTCTAATGGTTCTGACTTCGCTCTTATGTGGACCCAAAAAAAAAACGTCCAAATACAGACCAAATGTTATGTTACGTCACGTACATGTCTCGATATTCGTATTGGCTATATAATAAACATTTACTTACATTTCACATTCTTGCAAAAACACAACACACGTTTGCTCAATCACTACGCCTTCATTGCTTCTTTTCACTTTATACTTCCTAACTAAATTCTAATAATCTTTGCCAAATCAAAAAGAGTAAGAACATTCCTTTCTTTAGTTTCAAGGAATAACCCATATTAATAAATCAATTTTTTTTTTTTTTAAAAAGACAGAAGTTTTAATATTTGAAAAAAAAACACTGTTTTTCTTAAACGAACATTCCTAATTAGGTACCTTTTTTAATAAATCAAAAGTTTGATTTAATAAACGTTTACACAACGAGCAAAATGAAAAGTTTTATATTGTCTTGATTTTATTTTTCTTTCTATAATTCACCAATGTAAACAATGATTAATCTAATGGTATATGTTCAAACATTTGAAATAAGATTTATATC